CATCACACACATTCGATAAATCAACCACAACGACCATTAGCAAACATCAGTCATACAACCCATCCAATAAATCAACCACAACAACCATTAGCAAACATCAGCCATACAACCACCACACCCATCCGATAAATCAAACTCGGAAAAAAAAATGAAATAACAGATCGCGATAGAAAGGGGAAGTGGGGGAAATGGCGGAGGAGATAGCAGGTCTCCGGCGGCGCAGAGAGGGTAAGATGTGATAATAGATAGAGGCGGTGGTAGTGCTGATGAGGTCGTGGTGGTGGTGTCAGCGGGCGGTGGCGAGAATAGAGAGATCGGGGAGAGAAAATGGGTCGATTTTGAGAGATAGAGAGAGGGGAGTGAATGAAAAATTAGGGTTTGAAATTTGATTTAAATAAAAATTAATTTAAAAAGTCATTAATTAAAACCTGAATTATGTATTATTATAGTTGATTTTGGATTTGTGAAAGTGGTATTTTAAAAACATGTGTGGCTGTAATTTCTTCTAATATAAAATAGAATACTTATTTTATTACTGTAAAAAGACTTAACAAGATTCTTGATCAATAGAGCCTTGTGCAAGTGTTTGTCTAATAGTGTCTGTTCGAATTGCATTGAATTTTATTCAGAAAATTTGCAATTCGATCAAGAAAGTCACTTTAACCTGCAATATTAAACAAAACAGAATAAACGAGAGAATCCAAAAAATGAAAACAACAAAGAAGACAAAAAAAAATAAAGGAAAAAAGTTTGATATGAACAAAGATGGCATCGTCTGTTCTTCAATTTGCGGCCAAATTGCCAAAGGCCTGCACTATTGATGTGGACAAAAAGATGTGCCATATTTTGGTTCCAATGCACAATATATTATGTTGCATACAATGGTGACAAAATGCAATTCAAACAAGTAGTACTGGAACGGGAATGTCAATAAATAAATATTGCAGTATTTCATTATTTATGTCGCTCCATCTTTAAAAAAATAATATTATTACGAAGAGTAGTTGGAGCTATTACATGTCGTTATTGTTTTCTTATTTATTCAATATCAAATTATATCCTTAAAATGCCTACACAAGATGGTAGCTCGGACGAAATTGTTTCAACCTTCAAAACGGATCATATTGCTTGTTTTTAGCTTCAAAATTGATGCAGTCTGATCCTACAACTAAAATAAGTAGGTCGGGTCTTGTTATCTTTTAATTATTTTCTTACACTTTAAGTTATTAGGGAGCGTTTAGTCTTTAATTATGTCTTAGTAGTCATTATCTAGATTTCAGCCATTTCGTTAAATAAGGGTTGTAGGCTTTAATGACATTTAGTATTTTTTGAATTGAAATAAAAATTGATTATTTAGATTTTCTTCCCTTTTTAATTTAAAATAGTATTCTTGCATGAATCAATTATTTTATAATAAAATCGCATATTCGATATTTTTGAAAAAATTAAGGTATTTTTATATTTTGTGTTTGTCACAATTATTGCTTTCACCTACCTCAAGTACCAAGATTTAATTTAAAAGGTCAATAATTTAAGAAGAGGAATCCCTGTCTGACCCTTGACACCCTTGTAATTGTAGGATGATCCTTATCCTGGTTTGCTTATTTGAAGCCCACTTGCAATCGCTCATAACAACACAAACAAAGAAACGTGGATATTTAAGACTCTGGACAAGTTGAATCTTTGAAAGATACAGGTTAGGTTCTAGTCCTTATATAGAGGGCCGCCTTCACTGTCAAGTTATTTTCATCACCATTCTTTCCATGGGAGAAGCTCCAGAACTGCTCTCAGGTATCACAGGTGAGCAAGTTGTTATTCAGATTTAATTTCCTCAAGTTTAGATTTTTTTTCTCTTTTTATATCATAGACAGTAGCTATGAATATGATGCATTCCTCTCTCCTTCGACTTGTTCTACCGATATCACATCGTTGGACGAGAATGTTTTTGATGTAATGTTAAAAAACTATTCTGCTCATGATCAGAAATTGTGTTTTCCAAACCTGAGAGTACCATTAACAGAAATTGTGGCTTTGTTAGGCATGGTTTTGCTTAGCTGATTGATGCAATTACGTAATTCGAATAATTTTAAACTAATTAGAATATTTGTTAAGTCCGTGGATTGACCTTTCGGTTTCTAAGGACCATTTCTTCTGTTACTAATAGTTTGCGTTGTTAAGTCATGGAATCTAATTATTTTTGTTGTGAGGAGTTTATACGTGGATCGACATTTGTTAGGGCTTTGTAATTATCATTAAAGAGAAAAAAAAATCTAAACTCGAGGAAATTAAATCTGAATAACAACTTGCTCACCTGTGATACCTGAGAGCAGTTCTGGAGCTTCTCCCATGGAAAGAATGGTGATGAAAATAACTTGACAGTGAAGGCGGCCCTCTATATAAGGACTAGAACCTAACCTGTATCTTTCAAAGATTCAACTTGTCCAGAGTCTTAAATATCCACGTTTCTTTGTTTGTGTTGTTATGAGCGATTGCAAGTGGTCTTCAAATAAGCAAACCAGGATAAGGATCATCATACAATTACAAGGGTGTCAAGGGTCAGACAGGGATTCCTCCTTAAATTATTGACCTTTTAAATTAAATCTTGGTACTTGAGGTAGGTGAAAGCAATAATTGTGACAAACACAAAATATAAAAATACCTTAATTTTTTCAAAAATATCGAATATGCGATTTTATTATAAAATAATTGATTCATGCAAGAATACTATTTTAAATTAAAAAGGGAAGAAAATCTAAATAATTAATTTTTATTTCAATTCAAAAAATACTAAATGTCATTAAAGCCTACAACCCTTATTTAACGAAATAGCTGAAATCTAGATAATGACTACTAAGACATAATTAAAGACTAAACGCTCCCTAATAACTTAAAGTAAGAAAATAATTAAAAGATAACAAGACTCGACCTACTTATTTTAGTTGTAGGATCAGACTGCATCAATTTTGAAGCTAAAAACAAGCAATATGATCCGTTTTGAAGGTTGAAAAAATTTCGTCCGAGCTACCATCTTGTGTAGGCATTTTAAGGATATAATTTGATATTGGATAAATAAGAAAACAATAACGACATGTAATAGCTCCAACTACTCTTCGTAATAATATTATTTTTTTAAAGATGGAGCGACATAAATAATGAAATACTGCAATATTTATTTATCGCCATTCCCGTTCCAGTACTACTTGTTTGAATTGCATTTTGTCACCATTGTATGCAACATAATATATTGTGCATTGGAACCAAAATATGGCACATCTTTTTGTCCACATCAATAGTGCAGGCCTTTGGCAATTTGGCCGCAAATTGAAGAACAGACGATGCCATCTTTGTTCATATCAAACTTTTTTCCTTTATTTTTTTTTGTCTTCTTTGTTGTTTTCATTTTTTGGATTCTCTCGTTTATTCTGTTTTGTTTAATATTGCAGGTTAAAGTGACTTTCTTGATCGAATTGCAAATTTTCTGAATAAAATTCAATGCAATTCGAACAGACACTATTAGACAAACACTTGCACAAGGCTCTATTGATCAAGAATCTTGTTAAGTCTTTTTACAGTAATAAAATAAGTATTCTATTTTATATTAGAAGAAATTACAGCCACACATGTTTTTAAAATACCACTTTCACAAATCCAAAATCAACTATAATAATACATAATTCAGGTTTTAATTAATGACTTTTTAAATTAATTTTTATTTAAATCAAATTTCAAACCCTAATTTTTCATTCACTCCCCTCTCTCTATCTCTCAAAATCGACCCATTTTCTCT